CATAGATATTTCAGATGAGATTCTTAAATAATGAGAATGATATACAAAACTTTGAATGTTTATTTGAGTTATTTTTTGTGTTTTGATAATTTGACACTTAACTTTCGTTTATATTTGGTTTCTGCTGTTATTTATATGAAAAGAGAAGTGTTATTGTTTATTGTGGTGAACACGAGCATGTACTCGTATGAACATTAAGAAGTGTAAAAGGCGACAAAAAAAAAAGTATATGTAAACATGTACCATAAGAGGATAATGGCGAGATGATACTCACGTTTGGCATACATTAATATTTTATTTCTATTTCTTTTTTAGCCGTGGTGATTTGAATACTTGTTGGTATATACTTTTATCTGGCTCTGTCTTTATCGAGTCTACATTATATTTACCACGAGCTAGGTAAGAATGAATATAAAAAAGCATGAATAGGTCAATTAATAGTATTATTTAATTGTCATGTCTAACATTTTTTTTTGGTCTACCCCTTGAGACAAAAGCAAAAATAAATTATCTAAGCCAATATATTTTTTTTTTCTTCATCTTTCGTGTTCTATTGTTAGCCTTGTATTCGTTCTTTTCTTCTTTACCAATTGCATACTATAAATATCATTATTGTACTAACACTTTTCTCTTTCTCTTTCTCTCTTTCTCTTTCTTTCTCTCTCTCTCTCTCTCGCTCATCATTATCTATCTTCTTATTAATCTTGAATAGATCAAACGATATTGGTATTCATTTTTTATCTATAGTTTTGGTAAACGAACTTCAACTAATCAATATCGAATGAATGAATGTGTTATATTAGAACAATCTGAATTACTTATTGTAAGTTAATATTATTATTATTATTATTATTATACAAAGCGTAATTTGTTGACTCATTTCAATAGATTGATTACCCAATAGAAAATAAAGACTCATTGATGCGAATCGAGAGTAAAAATAACCAAGAACAAGCAATAGCAACAATAATTGATGATGACGAACAAACAACAATGACACTTCATCGAAAAAAAAGTTCACGTATTCGACAGGTGATATTAATATCATATTATTATATATATGATAAGAATATTATCTTTATTCTTTTTGTTTTGTTTCTTTTTTTTTTGTGCGATATATAGCGTTCTGTAACAGTTAGTAATACAAATGATATACATTCACCAATGATACGTAGTTCACATTCACGTGCAAGTGATACATCAAGCGCTTATTCTGGCTCAGATATCATGCAATCATCAACAAATGGTGATGATTGTTTACTAATAAATAATGAAACTGATGATGAATCTGATAGATCATCTGAAGTAAGTTTTGACTTTTTTTTTTCGATGAAATAATTGTTTTTGTGTTTTTTTTTTAATAGTCATTTCCAATTTATGATTTTATACGAGAATCTTTAATGAAAGAACCTAATGAAAGAACTGATGATGATATTGAAAGTATTCTTGAATATCTTCTTCATTTTCCCGTAAGAAAACAATAAATAATAAATATAAATTTGTTTTCTTTTCTTTTTTTTTCCCTATGAAAAAAAAAAGGCATTTACTGATTTAACTTTACATGTACGTCGTGAATTATGTAAAGTACTTGTTTATGCACAAATTGAAAAAGCTCATACAATTGTAATGAATGATGGTGAACGTTATGATTCATGGTCAGTTATTATAAATGGTATTATTGATGATGAAACAATTGATGGACAATTAATGCGTACATTAACTATTGGTGAAAGTTTTGGTTGTGGTGCAACATTAGATCATTATTATCATAAAGGTATTATGAAAACACGTGTTAGTAATTGTGAATTTGTTGTTGTGGCACAAAATGATTATTATGCAATATTAAATCAAGTATATATATTTTGTTTTTTGAATGAGAAAATATTGTAGAATGAATGTTTATTATTCTCGTCTTAGGGTGAAAAGAATATTCGAATTGAAGAAAATGGAAAAATTGTTATGATTAAAGAAATACGTGTTAATGATGAAGAACAAAGAATTCCACGTGAAATTGTTATTAAAGTAATAATTAGAACGGAATAAAATTTATTTCTTTTGTATAAATATTTTAAATCTTGATTGATTATTTATTTTGTTTTTATCATTAGGCAACAGTAGAAAAATTACTTGATTTACTTGTTGATGAACATCAATTAATTGATGATCCAAATTTTATTGAAGATTTTCTTCTTACTTATCGAACATTTATTAATGATCCAATAACAATAACAAATAAATTACTTGAAAATTTTCATAATACAAATAATTCAACATCATCTGAACATATAGCACGTATTGTTTTATCATGGGTTAATAATCATTTTAATGATTTTGAATCAAATAGTAAATTATATGAATTTCTTGAAAAATTTGATGATTTTTTACAACATCATGCTCATGAAGTAAAACATATAATTGTTTGTTTTTTTAATTTACTTGTTTTTTTTTTTTTTTTTTGTAATCACTTTAGTATATGATATCATGGAGACATTTACTTAATTTAGCTTGTTTTACAAAAGCTAGTATACGTACAATAACTTTAACACGATCAACGCGTGATGATATACTAAATTTTAAAATAATTGGTGGAAGTGATACACATTCAAATAATGGTATATTTGTATCAAAAGTTGAACAAAATTCAAAAGCTTATGAAGCTGGTTTACGTCGAGGTGATCAGGTAATTTAAATTAAAGATATTATTTAATGAAAAGTCTCTTTTCAAAGTAGGAAATAATTTAATCTTTTTCTTTTGTTCATTATTCAAATGTCTATTGAAAAAGTAAACTAATTACGTCATTATATATTCAACCATGAGTGGGATCAATTGTTCTTGATCTCAATCAAAAAAAGAATGTAATCCCAATCCCGGTCAGATAAGAATGTAATCTCAGTCCCGATAAACAAAAAAATGTAGTCTCGGTCAAACGAAGAATGTTATCCCGAATCATTATGCCCATATCTATGTATATATCTCAAGGTGTATTACTAATAGATGAAGGATAAAAGAAACATTTTTGAAAATTCTATTAGAAATAATTAGAGTTTGTCTGTTAAATGTATTTGAGAATCTATTTCATTTGTCGAAATTTTGTAAATCACTAGATGAATTGTTTTGAAAGAATTGTATTAACGTATATAGAACGTTGCAGATTAAAATAGAAGTTGTTACTGTTATGTCTTCGTAGAACTGTATCGAAAGAATTAATGCCTATTTTAAAAAAGAAGATCGGTAGATATTTTTTGAATAACTTTTGAACGGACTGATCTAGAGAACTGCGATTTTCACCGTTGGAAAGAGGAGATGAAGACGCATCGAATCATGTATGAAAAGATTTTTCTGACTACTTTCCTAAGAATCTTATATAAAGTTTCTAGAAAAACAGTATGTCTCTCATGGTTGCGATATTAACTTATTGATTTTCAGGAGTGTGTTGGAATTGCCAAATGAAGAGCTACAAAACTATGTAAAGACTCTGTCAATAAGATATTCTAGCCATTGGAATGCAATTTATTATCCCATTTTTTCAACAAAATAATCGAAAAATGGAAGTTTTTGTAGTGCTTGATGAAAAATCGTTTTTTTTAACGTATGAAAAAAAAGCAATTTTTTAGAAATGTTTGCCTAAAACTCCTAGAAAAAGTAGTCGAAAAAATCTTTTCATATATGATTCGATGCGTCTTCATCTTCTCTTTCCAATGGTGAAAACAGCAGCTCTCTAGATCAATCCGTTCAAAAGTTATTCAAAAAATAAATTTCGAAGAAAATAGTGAGTGTCAGTTTCAATCGAGATTTTTACTGCTCCTCCTTCCGAAGTCCTTACAATCAAATAGGACATTGGTCGCTGTGTATACTGGCATAGCTATCAAGAACAGCCGATACCCCTATTTATTTTCCAGAGCCATGAACAGCATTAACGACAAGACTTCGAATGTTTACACAGATAAAAATTTAATGAAAAATGACGGATTGATTCGTCATATGATCAACATATAAAAAAAAACGTAAACTGATCAAATTATAACTTTCGGAAAAAATAATCAATATCATTGTTTACGAGCTTATCGAGATATATATATATATATAATAATGCATTGAGATCTGCTGTAGATATACGAAATATTTACAAAAGGCTTATTGGCCAGTTAAATCAATATTCTGTTCGAAATATAGAAATAAATAAGATAGATCATTCCTTTGATGAAATTCCGGCTACTGGATTATATTCAGAAAACAAGAAATTTTTCACTTTATGTACTTTTTGTATTAGTTCGGCTAAAGAATACATATGAATTCTATATTCTAATCCCAAAATGACTTTATTTACAAGTTTATTTTTATCAATATTTCATAGAATATTTTTTTTATTTATAGATTCTTAGTGTAAATGGACAATCTTTTGATCATCTTACTAATGCACGTGCATTGGAATTTCTTTGTAATACAACTCATTTATCATTAACAGTGAAGAATAATATTCTAGGTAAGAAAAATAACTTAGCAAAAACAAAAATATGCTCTGATGATTTATGATAAAACATTTTTTATTTGCTAATATTTATAATTTTTTAATACAATATACTAATTACAAATTCACGAAATTTTAGTAATAATCATAAAAAAAAACCTGATTAAATTTTTAAGAGGAAAATATTTAAGAAAAAAAACAAATTACATTTTTTAGGTCTCCATGAAATTAGCAATCCAGAAAAATCACCTGCTCGTAAAAAACGTCATGATATAACCTTATATGAACAAGAAATTCGAAATAAACTCAATAGTTCATCGCCAATACGTTCTCGTGTAATAACACCAACATCATCACCAAATCTAACAAATAATTCAACAGATTCTCATAATCAATCACAAATACCATTAACACCAACAAAAAATCATCAAACAAATTCTGATAAAATCAAACCACGTCCATTAACTAAACGTATCGGTTTAAAACGAGCTGTTATGCAAAAATTTAAAATTACAAGAATTAACAGGTAAACTAAACTTTTATATTTGACATTGATGATATATGTTTGGAATCTTTCCAACGATGATACCATTTATATAAACCACATGCTGAACTAATTGCTAACATAATCCATACAAGTAATAAATTAATATCTAGAGGTGTTCCAAGACGACCTAAAGAAATGGAAAACAAAAAAAAAAAAAAACTTATTTTTTTGAATTTACAGAAAAAGTAATTCATAAGTTTAATTAATCTATAATAAAAATTAATTCATACGTTGAGGATTAAGTTTACTCGATTATTTTAGCTTTTTATTCTTATTATTGGACTCTTTCGTGATTTCGCTTCCCTTATGCTAATAGAGAACTAATGAAGAAATCTCATCAAGTAATAAATCACTTTTAAGATAAACCTTATCTTGTTATTTAAAACCTATTAACATTAGATAAAACTTAATTAGATTTGTGTTCAAGGATTATTCTATTTGAATTATACCTATTGTAGTGAGTTGTTCTCAAAACTATCGTTCAGATTATTTTCGAAATGAAGCATTACACAAATAAAAATTTTTAATCGCGCTTATTTATAATGATTATTTAACTTTGTAATATCTTCTATCCAAAAAAAAAATATGTCTGCATGACACACTTTTCAATATCGATATTTCAGTATAAGCAATACTACACGATATAATACTTTCATAATCAACTAGTCCCATTGAAGACTTTTGTATATGCAAAAGATGACTATAAGTTTTTCAATGATTCTTGATTAACAGAAAAACTTCCTCTATTTAATAGCATACGTATTATCAAATGCTACGGATATGTTGATAGATGGCGTTACCTTCTATCCAAGGCGTGATGAAGGTAGCGCCATCTATCGAGATGTGAACTATCAGATAGAGGAAATATTTCTCTAGAAGTCTAAATATATCTTACTTCTCAGTTAAAATCTTATAGTCGTCTTTGAATTCTAAAATCGGTTTTAGAAAGCGATCTAGAGGAAAGCATTATATTTTATTGAAAAACTCACTAACACAAATCTTTGTAAGTTTTGTTTTGTCTCAATAAGATAAGATTCATCTCAAAAGTGATTTATTAATAATCAAGATTTTCTTGTCAATCATATAATATTTTCTTTTTGTTTTTCTCTTTACCACTATACATAATAATTGACATTATATTAACAAATATCCATATAATGTATTGTTCCCAATAACAAGCAATAAGTAAAAATTGTCCAATAACATTTAATGCATTTGTTGTTGCATCAAATACATGTGGTATAAATTTGTCTTCAAAAAAATACGTCGATGCTAAATATTTTGAAAACATTGGGATTTCATAATAAAATAATAATGTTAGAAGAAAACTTGAAATACAAATAAATATCCAACCACTAAATTTTAATGATTTAACACGTGTTGTAGATTTATTATCTAATTTTTTTGACCATAAATAAATTCCAATAAATTGCATCGGTAAAAAAAAGAATACAAATAATTGTGCATCACCAACATAACCATAAGCAAATGCATAAATACCATATAGAATTGCACCTGTAATACCCCAAAAAAACGATGAAATCTTACCATAGATTACAAGTCCAACATATAAAATATTTGTAAATGCTGATATACCAGAAAAACATAATAAAATACGACGCCATAATGGTTTTCCATCTTCTACATCATTAGTCCATTTTAATAATGAACGTGGTTGTTGATGTGAAAAAAATGAATTAAAATCCTTCAAAAATACAAAATTTTATTTTAAAATAAAGTGTATGGTTTTATTTTTTTAAAGTTATTTACCAATATCGAAAAAACAACATTGAATGTAGCAAAGAGTATAAATATAATAATTTGCCAATATTTAAAATCTTTTAAATCAGATATAATTGATTGAAATACAAGTTTTAATTGTTGTATATAACGTTTAATAAATAAATATAATATTGAAGATTGTTGTTTTTCTTGATTAACTATATTACTTTCAATACTTTCATCTTCACTATCATCGGATATACTATTTATTGGAATTGATTTTGTTAAAATTTCTTTTTTATTTGGATTGGTTAATTCTAATTTCGTTGTACTCATCTCCGTCGATTTCGACGGTTAAAAAATATTGAATAATTATTATTTATCATATGGAATACTAAACTTCATATAAAATACAAAAAATAATCTTATTACGTCGATTCAAAATTATATATAAAAACAAAATATGTCTATAAAAACAAAATATGTCAACAAAAACCAGCATACGTGAAATTATTACTTCAGGTCTTTCTTTTTTTTCTTCCTTTCTTTTGCATGATTTTTAGACATGCTGAGGAAATCGCAAAAGAAAAACAGAAATACAAGAAACATGCGCTAGAAGGAAAGAATGGGAACTATAATATTGGTTGGAATGCAAAAACATAGAACCGCTGTGTACTAGCACTATCTTACCAAAAGGATAATAGAAAAATAAGTTGCGAAGATTAAAAATACTATTTATAATCGAATAAAAATTCAATATTTATCTACAAAAGATTATTGTTTTGTAAATATTTTTGAATTTTTCAATAAATTGAAAGAAATCGATTAATAATCTCAACTAAATGTGCAGTGTCTTTCAGTTCGATGATATTTTAATGCTTTTTCAAAATGCTCATTTCTACACGTTTTGTATTCTATTTAATGCCTTAAAACTATGTAATATAAGACTCGAAACAATGTTATACATATCTTTATTTTCTTATTTTTGATTAAAAAAAACAACAATAAAAGAAAATGTATGATAATACGAAAAGATAATATTTCCAATTTATCTTGACAACAAAATCTTAATTGAAAAATAAAACAATTTTTCGTTTATCTTTTCAACAAAAACATGTTTTATTTTCTATTGAATAACCCGTATCATATTTGATTGTTACGGTTTTTAACTAACATTTCATGCTTACCGAAATATAATTAAAAATTTGTCAATAATGAGATCAACGAGTCTATTTTTTGTTTTTCATAGCTTTCGTGTTTTTTTCATCTTTACTTTAATTTTTAAAATAAAAAAAAAAACAATAAAATTTAATGATTTTTTTTAGTGAAGTTGAAACAACTACAACAGAAAATGTTCTCGATTCAAGTTCGTTATCAATGTCAAATTCAAATAAAAGTCTTAATAGAAGTTCAAGTAATCCAGATCTATCACCATCATCAATTAGTAACAAATCAATGTCATCATCGATATCAACATTTAATAGTACAATTAATGATGAAGATAATGCAACATTTGTTGTTAAAGTTTATCGTAGTGATCAATCGTATAAATATTTCCCTGTACTCAAAGTAAACAAAAAAAGACAAATAATAAAATTTTATTAGACAAAAATATTTCTCTTTGTTTTTTATAAAAAGGATACAACAGCTAAACAACTTGTGATGCTAGCTATAACTGAATTCAGTATTCTTGATCAAAGCAGGTATATATCTTTGCTTTTTTTGTTGTTGTTGATGCTTTTAAAATTTGCATAATTAGTAATACTTTGACTTATTCATGATAAATTTAGTTATTATTCTTTATTTGATATCATACTCATTTTTCTAGCCATGTATCTTCTTGTGAAGAGATTGACCTATTGCGGTAAGACATTTGTCTTAAGGGATGGGAAGCTCTTGTGCTTTGTTCTTTTTTTTTAAATATTTTATTAATTAAATATTTAAAATATATACGCTCGTGCTTTAGGGGTTTTATTGGTTAAACTGCTTGCTTTTTCTTTTTTAACAAAACATTTTCTACGATGACTATGTAAATTATGATTAAACAAAAAATTAATATTGAAATCTGATGAGAGAATCACAAGAACTGATATTCGTCATATTGAAACTAAGTTAAGATCGTTTTATTGAATATTTGACCTTCTCAGAAAATTAAATAATGCAGTTTCGATCTGAAATTTTGCACATATATAAGTCTAATGACTTTTAGAATGTCGTAAAAGTTTCAGCCGAAAGGAACATTCTTTTTGACTGAAATGTTCACGATGTTCGAAGAGTCATTGGACCTATCTATGGGCAAAATTACAAGTATGAGAGTTCCTTATAACCTCAAACGGCAATTTACAGCGTGAGTAGTTCCCTTGTGAGCTCCCTACAACTTTTTTCTAATTCTGCTACCACATCCGATTTTCCTCTCATAGATGCAAGCACACGAATTCTATTAAGCTTTGTCTAGAGTCTTCAACAAACATAATAATTACTTTATAATAAGTAAAACTATTAGCAGTTTTCTCATCGATATGAATTTCTACTGTTGCTCCAATTTCATAAGCATTCTTTTATAAAAACAAACCTTTGAAAAACATAATACGTCATTTAATGTTTCTATATTAGCTAAATTTGAGAGAGTTAAAATTACCTTATGACACGTAATATCAAGTCAACAGACCATTATTTTAAAGCTGAGTGAGTCTAAAAAACATATAATTCAATTAATAGTGTGATTACAATTTAGAAAACATTATTTATGTATATTTCAAATAATTTATATATAATAATTTTTTCATACTGATTTGCTTAATCATTGATAATTTATTTTTATCTATATAAATAATGACAAATCTAACGAAATATTAATTTAGTTTGTGTTATTATTATTATTATTATTATTATTATTTTTTGTTTCTTTCTTTCTTTCTTTCAGACATTATTCATTATGTGAAATATCTGTCGAAAATGGTGTTATAAAACAAAAACGTTTATCAGATCATATTGATAATTTATGTGAACGTTTACCAATAAATGCTCGTTATTATTTAAAAAATAATCATTCAACTGATACACTTGTACCAGATCATTTAACAAATGAATTTATACGTGAAGCACGTATTCATTTTCTTCAATTAGATTCACTTGAAATATGTGCACAATTAACATTAAGAGATTTTGAAATATTTAAATCTATTCAACCAACAGAATATATTGATCATATATTTAAATTAAAATCATCTTATGGTATACCACATCTCGAAAAATTTCTTCGATTACCTAATAAAGAAATGTATTGGACTATAACAGAAATAATACGTGAAACAAATATAATGCATCGATCAAAAATAATTAAACATTTTATTAAAATAGCAAGTAAGAAGCAAGATTTATTAAAATACTCAAAAAAAAAAAAATAACAAAAATTATTTTATTTTAATTTAGAATCTTGTAAAGATGTAAAAAATTTTAATTCAATGTTTTCAGTTATTAGTGGACTTGATCATAAAGCTGTACAACGTTTACAAACGACATGGGAACGTGTACCTGAAAAATATAAAAAAATATTTGAAGTAAATCATACTATACTTTTAACTATTTGCTACTTATAAAGCATTCTTATAGAATTTAAACTAAAACAATAGAGAGAAATTTATAAGACATTCGATATTAGTAAAATGTCAGAATGAAGAATCATGTTATAGAGTGAAGAGTATAAGAACTTTCGGTTCAAGTTGGATCTATCCAAAAGGTAAAATAGCAAATTTAAAGTCTTCGAAAAGTGATCATGGATCAATACTGTGATCAATGGGTCAGCGAGGAATTTTCTTGCCAAACTTTTTTGAAGTGAGGGTAGCAATGGGCAATGGTCTTCCTATAAAAAGAACTGTCAGTAATAACTTTTGGAGCATCGAATTCGTACAGATTAAATTTATAAGATCAATAATAATTTCTTCATCTTTTTTTCTTTATCTAGGAATTAAAATCATTACTTGATTTATCTCGAAATATGTGTGTTTATCGAAATTTATTAAAAAGTGAATTCATTGGACCACCTATTGTAAATTATTAAAATAATCATAATATAATAAATTCATCTATTTTATTTATTCATCTTATAGATTCCTATGTTTCCAGTATGTATGAAAGATTTAACATTTATTCATTTGGGAAATCAAACAAAAGATAATGGCTTGGTAATAGAAATGAAATAATTTTTTTTCGCTTGGGAAAACTTTCTAATCTATTTATTATTTAAGATTAATTTTGAAAAACTTCGTATGATTGCAAAAGAAATTCGTTATATAATGAATATGTCATCATCACCATATGTAAAAAATAAATATTAATTAATAGTTGTATTTGTAATAGCTTCTTTTTTTTTATTTAGGATCTTTCAAATATGTTTGATTCTTCAACATCACATTCACAATTTTTTTCTAGTTTTGTTCATCAATCAACAACAGATTCAGTTGGAACAATGCGAAGAAATCAAACGACTGTACGTTTATCTGTTATGACTAATGCTAAACGAATTTATGATGAAGTATAAGAAAAAAAAATTTTCTTTTGTTTTTGTTTATAACGAATTATTATTATTTAGACATTAATGGTTAAAAAAGTTAAAACATATTTAAATAATGCTGAAATAATTGAAGATGAAGATCGTTTACTTGCATTAACTCATCCATGTGAACCTGGTAGGAAATAAATTTTAAAAAAAATCTCATAGTTTTTATTTCTATTTTGGAAAAAAAGCAATTGTGAGATTTGCAATATATGATTTTTGTTTTTGATCATATATAAATCAAAAATTAAATGAATTTGATAAGATCGTGTGGTTTATTGAAAAATATGCACACTTATTTCTTTAGATCGAGGAGAAAATTTATCACCATGTACGCCAACACCTGGTGAACTTTCATTGCTCAGTTTTGACGAGAATTCAATATTCAAACAAGACAATGATGCAAAGTCTAGTATGACTAATGGAAGTGATGATACGACACATACTGAACGTTCACGATTACGGATAAAGTCGTCGCCAAAAAAATTCCATTTTTTGAAAAATCCCTTTCATCACCATGGTATTTCGCTAAAAGCTAGAAAAAAGAAATATTCTCACTTTCTATTTTACACTAAGCATTAACTGATTTATTGCTTTTGCTATTTCTTTATTTGATCATATATTTATCTAATTATCTAATAAACAAATTTTTAATTTTTTTTGTTTAGTAACTACAATTAAACGACGTCCATCACCTTCAACATCAAGTTTATCATCGAATTCGTCTTGTGATCGTCGTGGTGGTGCTATACAATTAACTAAATTTGGTATGTAATCATTT